TGACATGCTCCCATGGGTGGTGGGGGCAGGGGGAGGCCTCTATGCCAGGGGGTTCAGAGTCCAGAGAAAACAGGTGGAGAAAAGTGTGACTGTCCCAGGAATACAGCATGTTAGATCTAAAAGGGACCTCAGAGAGATTGAATCTGACCCCGTTGTTTTCAAAGTTTGGGAAACAGAGGCTAAGAGAAGGTAAAGTGATTTGCCTAAGGTCACCCAGTGGCCTGATTTCCTAGGCCAGTGACAAGTTTTTTCACATAAAAACTCTCCTACCTCTACTCTATATGTCTGGCTCCATGTCAGGATGCATGAGGATATTCAAGAGAAGACAATTCAGGTCCTACCTTTGGGAGTTTACCATGTGTCTGGGTAGATAAGGCATCCATAAGAACAGAGACTAACACAGACTTAAGCTATAGCTTAAGCACTGTGGCTCATATTTAATTGCTGGGGGGAGGGGGAAGGAGGGTCAGCCAACAGACCAGAAGAGGCTGGAAAAGTCAGACAGAACTTGCTGGGCATGAAACTTAAGCTGGATCTTGAGAATCATATCGGGTTTAGATAGGAAAGGGAGAAGGAGGGCATTTCTAACAGAAAGAAACTGAAGAAAGGTGAGAATTATTGTGGGGGATGGTGAGGAAAGTGATCTGCCTGTCCAGTCTTCCATGTTCAATCAGTTAATCAAATAAGCATTTATTAAGCACCTAATGTGTATTAGGCACTTTGTTAGGCTTTGGGGACCCAAAGACAAAGAGAAGCAGTCCTTTTCCTGTAGGAGCATACATTCTGTGGGGGAGAGACAACATACATAAGTATGTATAAAATAGATTCAAAGTCTTTTAGGGGAGGAAGCATTAGCACCTGAGGGGCGGGGTAAGAAAGGATTTCATGTTAAGGGAAGAGCTTGAGCTGACTCTTAAAGACAATTAAGGATTTTAAGGCACAGAGATGACGATGTAATATAGGAGTGGGAGACAGCCAGAGCAAAGGTCTGTCAGGAGATGGAGCATATCATGTGTCAGAAAGCCAGTATTGCTGGACTAAAGAGTGTGAGAAGGGAAGAAATTTAAAATAAGCTTAGAAAAGTAGGTAGGGTCAGGTTGTAAAGGGCTTGAAATGCCAGAGAGGAATCTCTATTTGATCTTAGAGGCAATAGGGAACTAGTGGAGTTTATTGAGGAGGGAGTGACATGGTCAGACCTCCACTTTAGGAAAATTCCTTTGATAGCTGTGTGTGAGACTGACTGGGGCAGGAAAAGCAAATAAGAGGCTATTGAAATAGTCTGGTTGAGAAGTGATGATGGCCTGAACTAGGGTGGTAACCCTTTGAGTGGAAAGAAGAGGCCTGGGAACATGGTAGCAAGCTCCTAACAGAGAGGTGATAGACTCAAGACTACAGAAAGAAGCACATGGTTTTTCTTTTGTTGTTTTGTTTTGTTTTTTCCCCAGATATGGCCAATGTGGGAATTTGTTTTGCTTGGCTGTGCACATTTGTTACTAGGATTTTCCTTTCCTTTTTTTCTTTTTTTAGTGGGGTAGGATGGGAAGGAGAGAACATTTATTTTTGTTCATGGAAAAAATAAATTCAATTTAAAAAAGAAATAAAGGAACTGGGATGCAAGAGATGTTGCAGAATTGGCAAGAAATGTAGAGTGTGAGACAATGAAGAGTTGAGGATGACTGAGGCCATGAACCTGGATGACAGCGAGCATGGGGTGTACTCTATAGAAATGGCAATGTTTGAAAGGAAGTGAAATGATCAGATAGATTCTTTTTTAAAAAATTGATCTTATTTACAATTCATTGATTTTGTCCCGTAACTGCCTATAAGTCATGTTTTTTTATCTCCTAACTTAGCTCAGAAATTCAGCTGAGTTAAGTTTAGAAATTCAGAGATTCTTCTGCTAATCACCATTCTAGTCTTTCCTCAAGGAAATCCGTTATCCTTGAGGAATGCAGGTGGACACCAGGAAGTCTAATCTGGTATCTTTATGCCACCAAACTACCCTTCAAGTGAATAGTAAATAGCAGAGCAGGGATATGAACCCAGGTCTTCTGACTTCAAATCCAGTAAGTACTCTTTCTAACAGTTAAATATGTGTGATAGAGGTGCCGAGGTAGGAAGATGCTACTCCATGTTGAGGCTGGCAGGGAGTCAGAAGTTAAAATAGGCCTGAGCATCTATAGTTAGATAATACAGTTTAGATTAGTCCCCAAATCTGAGACCAGATTTCTTTTTCTACACACATCTAATTACCTTTGCTTGCTATTATTTCTGAGTCTGTATGTTTTCCTTTCCTCTGTTAACTTTTTTTTTCCTATTAGACCTGTGATTTCACTGATGTAGGGAATTCCCTTCTGATGTAAGGAAATTCTCTCCATCAATGCAACACAGAGAGGGAACCACTATGAGGCTTGTAGTTTGAGAGAGAGTTGTCTGGGGTGCTAAGAGATTAAATGACTTGCCCAGAGTCACAGAGATTGTACATGTCAAAGGTAGGACATTAATCCAGGATTTAATGACTCTGAGACCACCCTCCCACTACACCATAATCTCACGCTCTATGATCTAAGCTACATTGGCTTATTCGTTCCTGGAACAGATATTCAATCTCCAATCTACATGTTTTTGTACTGGCTATCCCCCCTATCTGGCATGCTCTTCCTCCTAGAGGCTGAAGCCTCTTTATTTTCCAGGTTTTTTTCAATACTCAGCCCAAATCCCACCTTCTTTCCCACAAGAGGCTTTTTCAGGTCTCCCTCCTGCTAGAGCTTTCCCATTTACTCAGTTACTGTTGTTACTCATTCTTCACTTTTGAAAAAAGTCCCTGATATCATGGGGTGATGTCTTCACCTGCTTGAGAATTGGATTAAAGTGAGGCAGAGCTGCACAGAGTCATTGGCCTCAGTCTCTTTTCCAGAGTCCAATATTGAAGTCCAGTGGCAGGACAGAAGTCCAGATGACTGGCATCTTCAACGTCTGACCAAGCTCTAAGCACTCCACAGCACCTACTTCAGCTGCCTTCATGGCCTTTGTAACAAACTGTTTTCATCCACCCATTCCACTGGGGGAAGTCTTCACAAGCTTGGGGTAGACATCCCCCTAATTCACTGAAAGGTGAAAACTGGTTTGTCCCATCTGCCAACATGGTTTACTGGGATGCATGTGGCTGCTGTGCATGCTACAGCTTCTTGGAGCCCCAGATGAGAACTGAGAGAAGGTAGACATCAAGGGTAGATGAGTAGCCCTGAAAAGGGCTTGGTAACACCTCACACCAGAGTTACTAGTCCTCCCTGCACACTCCATACATCCCAAAATTGTTGTTGTTTTTGTTGTTGTTCAGTCATTTCAGATGCTTTTTGTCCCCACTTGGAGTTTTCTTGGCAAAGATGCTGGACTAGTTTGCCATTTTCTTCTCCAGCTCATTTTACAGATGAGGAAACTGAGGCAAACAGAATTAAGTGACTTGCCCTGGGTCACACAGCTGGTAAGTGACTGAGGCCAGAAGATGAGTCTTCCTGACTCCAGGCCCAGTACTCTATTCACTGCACCACCTAGCTGCTCATCTACTCAGTAAATACTTTATATATAACTATTTATGACTGAAACAAACAACACAATAAATAATAGGAATAAGGCCAATCATTGGAATCATGGCAAAGATAGGATGGATGATAGAAATCATCTAGCTCAAACACCCCCTACCCCCAGCATCATTAAAGGACAGAGAAAAAGAGTCTTTTGAGTCAGAGGCATGGGGTACAAATCCTGATTCTGAAATAAGGGGAAATTTCAACTTCTCTGGGCCTCAGTTTCCTCATAAAGGAGAGGGTTGGACTAGATTGCCTTCCACCTCTAAATCTATGAAGCAGTAAACAGAGGAGGAAACTGAAGACCAAAGACAGAGTGACTTCTTCAAGATCATACAGCTAGTTAATGTCATCATACAATGGAATGGGATTGCCAGAAGGAATCTACCTTCAGTCATTAAGGTGCCCCTCAAAAATCCATCCAGGGAAACTTCATTTAAAATATAACTACTGTAAAATGGGAAATTGTACTGTATTAAGGAGGAAGGAAGAGGGTAGTGTGTTCCAGGAGTCCAGAAAAACAGCAACAATTCTGTCAGAGAGTAAAAATGTGTCAATGGTTGTCAAAGCTGGAGTAAGGAGCCCCTTAATTTACAGAGGAGGAAGCTGAGTGAGGCCTGAGATGATCTGTAATTTGGCAAGATTATCGCACACTGGTAATCTTGCAAAGATTACCCCATGTAACACTCACAGGATGGTATCTTTATCATGAATCTTGTCTCTTGATTATCAACTTTGCATTTAGTCAGCCCACCCTGTGTTGTTCCCCAAGTATTGGAAGTGTGTAATGCATCCAGTCTTTAACCATTCCATGAATCCCAGAAGGCAGGGATCATATCTCCTATCCAGACTAACACAGGACCAGGCAAATGCAGGAGCTCGGTGACAATGGCTGTCAGTCATTGGTTGGTAGTACTGGGAAGGAGCTTCAGTGGGACTTTAAATTGTCCCACCAACTGTACCAACTGGCCACCCAAGGTGCGTCCTCATAGGTCTGTTTCTCTGACCAGCATGGGTCATCAGAAATTGCCTCAGTCTGCTTCTCAGCTCCTTCAGCCTCAAAGGAGAAACTCCTAATCTTGTTAATTTAGCTAGGCTCTTTTGGAAAAAGGGAAAGGGAATGAATCTCCTACCTCCCACCAACACTCTAGCACTTGGAGACGGGGCCTGGGGGTGGCCATGGGGGAAGTAGATTGGAAAAAGCAATAGCTCCCAGAGCCTTGTGGCCTACACTTAATGAAGGCCAATCTCCTGAAGCGATTAAATCCCCCACAGCCCTGGCACTGGCCTCCACTGAGCCGCCGCCCCTCCCCTTAAAAAAAAATTCCCTCTTAATCACACTGTGAGGTGAGCCAGGGTTCTTCTTCGCCCTCCTTACTCCCCTCCCTACCCCCTTCCGTGCCCAGCACTCACTGGGAAAGCTCAGAGAGGTGGTTCAAAGCGTAGCAGACAGGTAAGGCGGTAAGGGAGAAAGCGACGACCTTTCCGGAGAGTTCGGGGAGCTCCATGGTTGCGGAGGGGTTTTGATGCCAGCGGGGCAGAAGGTAGATGCCACCTGGCCAGATGCGGATCGGGGCGGTCCGGGGCGGTCAGGTCCGGTCCGGTCCGGTCGGATCCGAAGCGCCTTCTCCAGTGCTCGCCTGTCCTATCCGCTAGCCGGCTGTCTCGTCCTTGTCCGCGGGCTCCTGCCCGGTCTGGCCCGACGTCTGGCCCGGGCTCAGGTGGATCCGCCGGCTATCGTAAGGAATTGGCTCTTCCCTGGGCTGTCTGCTTCGCAGCTTAACGCTTCAGGCCCGAGACCCCGACGCCAGCCATCAGGTGGCCCAGCCCCATGCAAAGGTCACTGACGCTCTTCTCCAGCCGTCCTCGATCCCTCCCTCTCCACCCAAGGTTTCGACATCTCCGCCGGCCTTTAAAGGGGCTGTGACCTCTATTCTCACAGCCACACCCACCCTCCTCCCAGTCGCGGCCCTGGCCTCCTCCACCACACACAATTTAGGTATACCAGGGAAACGGAGTCTATGACTATACGACCTGTCCGAAATAATCTTGAGGACAGGTTTGGCCACGCCTTCCCAGGCCAAAACAAATAGGCCATTCACCCCACCTGGAAACCCCTTCCCCAAAACAAAAAACAAAGGCAACGTTCCCTAATGGAGAGAACAATGGACCAGAGGATCTTTGCCAAGTTTCTTCATCTGTAAAATGAGGGAAATGAACTGATTGATCTCTATGGTTGCTTCTAGCTTTGAAGATCTTTTAAGATCCATGTATCAGATTTAAAGATCATGGAATCCCAGGATGTGGGAGCCCTAAGGTATCTATTCTAACCCCTTAACGTTTTATAAATGATGAAATTGTTAGACATTTATCACCTCTGCTTTCTCTTCTAGTTGTTTCATTCCATCGAGAGATCTGATGAAATAAAACATGATCCCCTACACTCTCTTTTCTTCACAAACCCATAAAACAAAGAAAAGCATTCTGAGGCTGAGAGGTCTCATTTCATCATTGTACTGCCCCCTATCTCCCAGCACAGGGCTCCGAAATGAGAAGGCCGTTTAATTTCTACCACCCTCCACAGAAATAGCTTGATGTCTTTTGCAAGGGAGGCCAGGTGGATTTTCCTGAAGAAAAAAAGGAATCTGTACTAGGCGATTCCTCCACTGTAGTTGATCATAAATAGAAAACAAAGGTCTTTCACCCAGACGTCAGCTAAGCTGGAGGGCATTTAAATCCACTTTTCCCTGGATGGCCATATTGTACCTTCTTTACTACCGGCCTCAAATTTCCTTCTCTTAGTGGTTTACAGAAACCTGGCTTTAAACAGAGTCCCCAGTTTTTGCCCTTTGAACAAGAATGAAGTATGGCCTGCTGAAAAAAACTCTCAGTCAGGAAGCTGAGTTTCTAGACCTGGCTCCGATATCAATAGGTGGGGCAACCTGAGCTTTGACCAGGGTGCCAAAATGCTCCCTTCTAGTGCTCACTCCCCACCCAGTGGTCCTCTAAGGTAGGGCAGATTCCAAGCTCCTGATGTCCACTGATAAGAAACAATTCAGTGCAGTGGGAAAGCATAGATCCTGAGCAACTATGAATGAAATAAAGGTGAGCTCCCCTAAACGACCTCTACAGAGAGGGGGACCTTTCATGGGCCACACTTCTCTGGCCAGGAGGTGCCCTTCCCTGGACCTTACTCTACCTGAGAAGATGGGTAATACAGTTCTACGGCCAGCCCCAAAGGGCCTGTTTCTTATCTATAACATGAAAGGATTGGGTCATGGATCTCTCTGCCTACCAGGTAAAGCATATGGACCCTTTCTCAGAAGTTTGTTGCCTACATCCAGAATGAAAGAAATGCGAAATCTGTCAGAGCTTACAGAAAATAAAGACGTTGGGTTTTTTTTTCAACCATTCAAGACCACAGACCTCTCTGAAATTTATAGACCCCTTTCTCAATAATCACACTATTACCAACCTGATTTAGACACCCATCACCTTACTTGGACTATACTACTAATGGATGTGTCCAAGCCTCCCATTAGAATGTAAGCTCCTTGAGGGCAGAGACTCTTGCTTGTTTGTGGGTGGCTCATACTAAATGTTCTATCCAGCTATCTAGTCTCTCCCTTATCCAGTCATCCTTTGCCAATGTCATCTTTATTTCACTGTTGTGGAAGGTGCTGGATTTGTAGTTGAAGAATTCAAATCCCACCTCTGCCACACCTTACCCACCTCGTGGGTAAGTCACTTGACTTCTTTGGGAATGTTTCCTCATCTTTAAAATGATGGGACTAGTTTCAGACTCCAAGGTGCTTTCCGGTACTAAATCTATCATCTTCATGTGCAGATGAATTTTTCTCAAGAATTTTCAATAGCTCCCTATCTTCTTAGAATAAAACTAATTCCTTAAGCTAACATTTAACACACTCCCTACCTTCAGATTTCAACCTGTCTTTCCAGATTTAACTCATGTTTAAATACATGCCAGCCAAATTGTACTATCTTCCATCCCCACGGTTTCATTCTGTCCTTCTCCACAGCTGTACATTTATGCACATCTTCCCTCATCACCATCATGTCTAGAACATGAACTTTTCATATTTGTATCTGTTGAGATCCTTCTTTCAAGGCCCAGCTCCAGTTCTAACTACTCCATGAATCCCCCATCCCAAGTTAAAAATTATCCCTTCTGATAAGGGCAATCACAAAAGATAAAATAGAGCATTTCTATCATATGAAACAAATGCAAATCCAAACAATTCTGATTCCCCCTCACACCCAGTATATTGGCAAATGTCACAAAAGAAGGGAACAGGCAACGCTAGAGGAGCTGTTTTATTTACACATTGTTTTCCTCATTAGAATAGCTTCCCTGAGGGCAGAGTTTTTGCCTTTATTTGAAACCTCATAAATTATTACAGTGCCTGGGATAAGTGCTTAATCAATGCTTGCCTAGCACACACTGCTGGTACAGCTATTAATTGGTCCAACCATTCTGGAAAGCAATTTCAAATTATGCTAACAAACCAAGTGGCTAAAAATGTCCATAACCTTTGTCCCATTACTAGGCACATATGCCAAGGTCACACCTCGATATTCATCCACAGCATACCAACCCACATACATGTTGTCTCCCCATTAGACCGACTTGACAGCAGGGACTGTTCTTGCCTTTCTTTGTATACTCCCCGTGCTTGGTAGAATGTCCACCACACAGCAAGTGCTTAGTGCTGGTTCAATGCACGAGGAAGCTGATTCCTTGAGGACTCTAATCAGTATTAGCCAGTTCATTATAATTTCAAGAGGTATGACTGTCAGAAATTTTTATTTTACTTATCTAGCAATATATATTTAGTCAGCCAGCTAATTATTCTTAATCCATATTTTGCATGTTTCTAACAGGAAGGCCATAGGGCCTCAAGTTTTAATATAATGGTTATAATTTGTTTACCAACAATGGAGTTTACTTGAGTAACCACAAGACTGAAAGAACAGTAACATGGATATCTCCATCTCGTTTAGCTCAATTTCCATGACTCTACCAAGCGTGAGTTGAGGCATGGCACAGAAAACCCCCGCTTCCCTCAATTTTCTTGGAGCACATGTATAGCCTGTACCATTTTTTCTTTTGACCAAACGAAGTACCTCATCCATCTTGTGACCACCTAGTCATCGAAACTATTTCCTACCTTGCCCAATCCATAACCCTGCTGATACACTGTTTTGCTTATTTTAGCCTAGGCATCATGTCGCCCCATAAAATTATTCTGTATTTGATAGCGCCATCCCTTGAATGTCTAGGTATCAAGGCCTATAAAAATAAGGGCCCTGGAAGATGATGTCTCAGCTCGTGGGGAAGATCTGCGATCCACTTCATTAGCAGAGATGCCGTGGACCCTCTAATAAAGTACCATTGGCTCAGAGCTCTCTCTGCCTCTCTCTTGGTGTAGGTTGGCCCCACACAAGAGACTGAACCTATCTTTCACTGCTATAAGACACTTCCATATGAGGCAAGTCCCTCTAACAACACAGGTAGGTACCTCATCTGCAATTAATAATTTCAAGGATTTGCCTACAGAAGGTCTTCTTAAACTTTTTCCACTCGAGAACCCTTTTTGAGTTTGGCAGCATTCACTGGTGTTACCTGGCCTGAGCACACGTGCAGTGCAAAGTGCCTGTGCTTTATATTCAGAACCAAGCTGCCCAAAGCAACGTGAGCAAGCACCACCAGAAACACCCAGGATTTGTTACTAGTTTTGATTTTTAATTAATTTTTGATCATTGTGAGTTCAGGAACCTTTTAACATTGCCCCCATATGGTGTCTCGATCCACAGTTTAAAAAGCGCTGGCCCAGAGCACTAAACGCTTGAGTGAATGGTCCAGGGTCATACAGCAGGTATGTACCAGAGGCAACACTTGAATCAAGACCCACTGTACCATGCTGCCTCTCTGACATAAATGTAATGGGAATATTACTGTGCCTTAAGAAATCATAACTAGAAAGAATTCAGGGTAGCATGAGAATACTTACATGAACTGATGCAAAATTAAGTAAGCAGAACCAGGAAAATAACACACAATTACAATATAAGTAAAAAGAACAAAAAAAAAATGAAAACAGGAACAAGCTTGTCCCTGAAGAAACAATGAGAAAAGGAACCTCCCTCCCTTTTCTGAAGAGGTCAGGGGAATCTGGGTGTGGAACACTGCACATACGGCCAGACTCAGTGGAAGCATTTGTAGATTTAACTCATCTGCTTGCCCAACCCATTTTTCCTCATTAAAAGAAATGGCTCTCAGGGTGGGAGATGGGAAGGGAAAGATTTGAAAATGTTGTAAAAAAAAAAAAAAAGAGCAATATATTTTTTAATAAGCCCCTTAGCTCAGACTTCTCAAGTATCCCTATTTCTATGTACTTAGATTTAAGTAGTGCATGCATACCTTAACTCTCCTACTAGATTGTAAGCTCCCTGAAAATGGACTTACTTCTCATGCAGTACGCACTTAGCAGATGCTGCAGTTGACAAAAGTGAGGGTCATGAAAAACAAGGTGGCCTCCAGGGCAGTGCCACTTTGGCATGCTCTAGCTAGAAATGGAAGCCTCTTGTAGAGAGGAAAGAAAGAAAAAGCAAGACTATTATTCTAAGAGTTTGAAGGATACAAGGGCCCTGGCTGTCTTAACCAAGAACATCAGTATTGTAATTACTGGTAAGAATTTAACATGAATACAGAGCTTAAAAGTTTATAAAGCACTTGAATAACCAGCACCTCATTGATTTTCACAATACCCTATGAAGGAGGCAGGCTGGGGATTATTATCCCCATTTCACAGACGAGAAAACTGAGTGAGGCCTTCCCAAGGTAGTGATGGAACTGGCACTTGAGACTTAGGCACTCTTTGCCCAGGCCAGTGCTTTACCATACCAGTGAGTGGAAACTGTGCAGGAGACTTGGGGGCTTAGCCCAGAATGCTTTCACTTCAAAGATAGAATAAGGAAAAAGACCAAGACATGTCACCAGACATCTCTTTGTAGGCAGAGGAAGTGACCTTCTGTGGGGTGTAATTTGAAGGGTACTCCAAAGCCCCTCTACCACTTTGCTTCTTTTCTTTCTCCCATTACCCCCTCCTATCTCCAATATGTCTCACATCACAAAATCATCGCTTTCTTACAACATATAGGACCTCAGTTAAAACCAACAGTTTTCTTTCCAAAACGGTGAAACCAAAATTCAACTCAACAGATACTCATTCCTATTGTGTACAGGGGGCCCTGTGCTGGACACTAGGGGAGACAGAAGACATGGTTTGGAAGCACAAAAAGCATCTATCCTTAACAAGAGGATTTATGTGGAAAAAGATAACTATAGTGCTTATGCAGGGCTTAAACTGGGGTTAGAGGGAAGGGGTTTGGAAATTCAGGATGCATAAGGAGAGGTCTTGTTCTTAGAACGTGGGTCGTGGTAGTCACACTGTCCTTAGCTCTCCGCCTATACAATGTAAACTCGGAGGGCAAGGGAATGTTTCATTTTTGTCTTTGTATTGCCAGAACCTAGCAGAGTGCCTGGCATACAGTAGATGTTGAATAAATAGCTTTTAATTGGGCAGCCCACATCGGTAATATCCCAGATCAGTTCTGGGCACGTTTTCAGTAGGACACACAAACTGGAGTATACAAGAGAGTGAACAGGATAGGGCAGGACTAGAAATCAGGCCACTATGAGGTTCAGGTGAAGTAAGTGGGGATATTTAGCTTGGCAGAGAACAAACAGATTGATAGTTCCTATCACCAAGTATCTGAAGGCCTGTGATTTGGAAGAGAGAAAGGAGTTCTGCTTCAATCCAGAGGACAAGACCAGTCACAGCAGGCAGACAGTGTACAGGCAGATTCTGACTTGACAGAAGATAAAATTTTCTAACACTTAAGAGATATTGAAAACTGGAAGGAACTGCTGCAGGAACACTGTAAAGGGGATCCTTGCTCACCAGGTACAGGTGGGGTTCAATGGGCTCTGAGGTCTCCTCAACTTTAAGATGCTGATAAATTCTAAGACACCACAAACAGGTTTCAGGATTCATTTCATATTCACATGGCACCCATCATCATAACACACTAGGAAAGGTAATTGGACTGGGCCAAAATCCCACAATGGCAGTCAGGAGACAGTTTCCTCAACTGTAAAATAAGTGACTGCAGAAATTGATCCCCAAGCCCAGTCTCGTGCTTCTGCTACTACACCATTGCTGTCTGACTTAAGAACATCTGATTACCTTTTAGAAAATGAAGATGACCTTTCATCACGTCTCAAAAGCCCTTCACAGAGGGCTGAAACCTATTTATAAATCCTGAGGATCCCAAGTTTCCTTCAAAACTCAGCCCAAGTGCTGCCTTCTACAAGAAGCCTTCCTTAGTGCCTCCCCTTCCTGTATTTCCCCCCCATCTTGTGTACATGTAGTTTTCTCTTGATAAACTCTAAGTTCCTTGAGGACAGAGATGTTTTACTTTTGTCTTTTATCTCCCCAGCTCAGCACCATCCTTGGCATATAGTAGATGCTTAATAAATGCTTGCTAATTGATTCTAAGATGGGAAGGACTTGAAAGCAGCCAAAAATTAGACAAATGCTAGTGAGCTAGAAAATGGAAAAGTGGATTGGACATGCCAAGATTCCTCTTAGCTCCAAAATGGAAGAGTTCAGGAAGAGACCCAGGCCACTGCTAAGGGACCTGGCATATTTCACTGTCTTTAAAAAGTGATCTAAGGCTCAGTGAATCTTGGGATTAGGTCCCAAAAGTAGAAATTATGCTCACTTGGAAAGGGTTTTGGAACACAGAACGTAAGAGCTGTAAGGCATCTGAGAAAGTAGACTGGTAGAGCTGAAAAAGACCTTGAAGCTATCTAGGTCTGACTTCTTCCTTTTATGAAAAAAGGAGAAGCTATAAAGTAAGTCAATTGATCCCAAGTGGATTGAGCTCTCGGGGAAAATACTGGGAAAAGCCTCTAGCTTAAGATATAGAACATGCTAATTTTACCCAAGGGCCAGGTTCTGTTGTGAACCCTAAAGAAACCACATATTCCCCAGCAAGTCAAGCACCATACCATGCAGAAAACAGGATTTCAAGAGGCTCTAACTGGAGAAAAAGCATATTCAAGGGCTCTGAGTTACAGAAGAACATCTGGGGTAGGAGAGCAGGGAAGAAGGTGCACACTAAATAGTAGTATATAGAAAGGAAGCTAATTAGGTCCCTTGTGTACATATAAGGCATAGAACGTTTTACTGTTCAGGGAACCCGAGTTCTCCTTCAGATAGTCAAGCTGGTCACTGAGAGGGAACCTCTCACAAAGAGTCATGAAGGAGCCTGCAGGTGACCCCATATGCACAGGAGGTAGAAAATAAGGGCACACCTCCCCCAGGGGCTTCTGGAGGTATAGAGCCTTCTTTCTGTTCACAAAAGAAGGTGCTGGGCTATTCCAGATATACTCCCAAGAGTTAGGAGCAGGCAAGGTCCAGGGTGCTGACTAGTATCCTAGGTAAGGGAAAGGAAAACTGGATTTTGGTTGGGAAAGTGTTTGTTGCCTCCTAGTCTGAGGAGAACCACCTCAAGATAAACCTGCTACTTAAGCAGCAGTTTAGGACATAACAATAGAGGATCTGGGGCCTGGTCCTGGTTCTGCCATTAAATTGCTGTATGGTATCAGCCTCATTCTCTGGACCTCAGGGTTTGTTGTTTTGTTTTGTTTTGTTTTGTTTTAATCTGCAAAGCGAGAGGGATAGATTAGATCTCTTAGGTCCCTGCAGCTTTCCATGTTATATATTCTAAATTCCAACCAGCTCAGACAATTCCATGTTTCTAATCATTGCCGGTAGGGAGGTATCTCTCAATAGAACATTAGAGGATTCTTAATGAATTCTTTGGTGTTTCCCCTTGGAAAGGATATTATGGGAAAGTTTCCATCTTAACCTTTCCTCTTCATTCCTCTATGACACTGCCACCTTCACAAAGATGCTGTCATCAAGGAATCATATGTTAGTTTGTGTGCCCACCTGTCGGTGCTACAACACTGTTCTGGGTGAAGGAGAGTACTGTGACTTTTAATACATTTTACAATATTTGCAACAAAGAAGAAAAAAAGACAGGGTATGGGGGTGGGAATAATGCAGTTCTGTAACATTTCACAGTAAAATTACATTTGTACTGAAAATACTTTTTTGGGGAAAATACTCAGTAGTAAGGTCTTCTGGGATTGTTCTGTAGGGGGAAAAACAGGAAGAGAAAGAGTATTAATATTTACAGACATAATCACATCAGTTACATCCAGAATTAGCCAGTAAACACCTCACCTATAAAATGAATGAAAAGAATTGAGGAGAAGAGGAAAGCAAAGCCCCACTTTCTCCCCACCCTGCAAAGTGCAACCTAGAGCAAGAGTCAAACAGAGTAGTGTGTGCTTCAGCCCATGAGAAATTCACACTTAGCACAAAGCTTGATGGGCTCTCTTCCGACCAACTGCAGTTCCTTTGTATGGGGGGGAATGTGTTAATACTTGGTCTATCTGGGTGTCAGCTGAATCAAATTTCTGCTGTTAAAAATAACCTCAAAGTAAGCTCTCCATCATGTTCTATTCTGAGTAATCGGACCATAGTTGCTAGATGAAAACTCAAAAGGGGAAAAGGAAAAAAGGAAACCTTCCAACAGGAAGGTAGGTATGTGCATACTTCACAGATGACTATGATTTGGCTTGCTGAAAAACAATCCCTTTTTTGCATAGTTCTCTGTATTTTTTAAAGCATTTTTGCACACAATAGATCTCATTCCCTAACTGCCAAATTTAGGGGCAGCCTATCATAGGAATGAACACCAGAGTCAGAAAAATTAGGCTAGCATCCTCACTGATGCTTACAATTGTGCGCCTATGTCACAGAATCTCTTAGCCTCAATTTGTACATTTGGAAAATGGGAACGTTACTTCCAATACCTGCCTCACCAGGGTGTTGAGAAGTAAAGCACTATACAACTCTAATGCATTCAGTAGGTGGCTAGAGAGAAGGGATCTGTTTTGCCTAAAAAAAGATCACCATACCAGCGGGTTAGGTCGGAATCTATAGGCCAACATCATTCTTTTACGGAATGCCTCATACTCATCATCTTCTTTAGAGAGTTCAGCAGGCCGGTCAATGCCAAATCCAGCTCCATCTACTGCCGTTGTACCCCTAGAAAGAAACCCATACAGAGGATAAGAAAATGAAGGCCTGGTCTACCTCTGTTCCCTTCTCTGTAGTATCATCTCCTCAATAGGGCACTACCCTACCTTGTCACGTCATGAAGATATCTTTACAGGATCCCTCTGGTTTTCTTTGCCCTTTACTAAGACCTAACCAAAAAGTTCTCAGAGTTGTGGTTATTGAAAAGGACCATAGGAGATGGGATGTGTATGCATATACATATACACATACATACACGTACACATGCACATACACATGTTCACCTTGCTTTGAGCAAATTAGAAATACGAAAAACCACAATAAAGATATGAGAATGTTACAACTGGAAAAGACCTTAAGAGATCAACTAATTAAATTCACTCATTTTACAAAGGAGAAACTGAGAAATCAAGAAGAGAAGGTGCAATTTGTCCAAAGTCAGAGTCAAGAAGCAGAAAAGCCAGGACTTGAACCCAAATCTCATTTCAAATCCTGTGGTCTTTCCATTACAACAGAGCTGATTCTACCATACCACAGCTAAAAACTCAGGGGTGATTATTTTCTTTACAAAAAAAGCATTTATCATAGGATTTCTTTAAATATCAAATCTCTTTAGCTTACTTAAAATACAAAAACCAAATTACTTTAGAGGCATTTGAGATATACCCTTACTGTACAAAGGTATGTACACATATGTATGTGATATGGTTGGGGATGAAGAGCAGGCAACAATAGCTGTCCTGTACGGCTGTATACATGTATTGGCTGTCCTGGTTTGTCAAGGTCCGTGAATAGTTGGGAAATATTATTCCAGAAGAACATAGCTTAGCTCAGAGCAAATCTTGGATATTAATGAGTGGCATGAGGTAAACTCCTTCCTTACTGCACTTAATTCAATTCAACTAACATTTATTAAGTACCTATTATGTGGCAAATCCTGTTCCTGACACACACCAGCCATGTGACCATGGACAAGCCATTTAAGCTCCCAATAATGCAAGCAGCTAAGACTACCAGTTATAGACAAGTTGCTAACCTGCATCAGAGAAAGAAGTTCCCCATATCTAGGAAATCACAGAGGCAGAGCTACCTTCCACTCCCTCCAATCCCAAACCCCCTTTGAAAGGCACTATTCCCAGTACCAGATATACAGACACACAAATAAAACAGTATCTGACTTCAAGGACATTATCTTCTCCTGGGAAGATATAACAGATACGAAAAGAAGTATCTGATAAGGAAAACCAAGGAGGGAAAGACAACTAGCAGTTTAAGAAGCTGCTACAATGCTCTCTAGGGTTATACACATCGATTCACTAATTTTTCATAAATATTGGTATGTACACAGATGTTTGCCTGTTGTCTTTCCCATTAGACTGTGAGCTCCTGGAGGGCAGGGGCTGGGTCTATCTTTCTTTGTACCCCTACACCTTTGCGCAATGCCTGGCACAAGGGCCTCTGCTCTCCAGAGCTTGAGTGATGGCAGAGGGGCTTCAGAGGCATTAAGATTCAAAGGTTAAAGATCTGGCCCCAGAGAAAGGCCAGGAGACCTGCTCTAAAAACTGTTCCCTAAGGCTGGGCCAAGGCCTAGGGGCTCAAAGTGGCCAGTACTCCTGCTTTAGGCTTTGGGGCTTTTTGTAACTTGGCAATACATAGGTTGTCCTAGATTGTCCCACAAACGCCAGCTTCAGCTCCGTGTGACAGTATCACAGCAGCAGTATCCTGTGGCTTATCCCAGGTCTAGATGAGACTGCTTCAGGTCCAACACCAGGAGAAGCAAACAAGGACCCTCCCAAACCTCCCAAGTCTCTCTTTCAGGTTTCTGGAGCATAGCTGCCTCTTCTTTTCCAAGGAGCCTTCCTACTTGGAAGAGAGTCTATACCCAAGGTGGAAGGAGGTGAATGACAAAGGGGAGAGGTTCCAATTCAACTCCCCTCCCCCCAAAGTAGTTACAGCAGCATGCTAGAGGTACAGAGGCAATCTGGTATACTGGAATATGGTGCGGACTACAAGCCAGGAGATCTGGTCCTTGTCTAGTTATAAACCAACTGCAGGACTGCAAGCAAGTCACCCTCTCAGTTCTCATCTATGACATAAAGAGGTTAGACGAGGGGATCTCCGGGGGGTCTCTTCCAGCAGAAATCTCGTGAGCAATAAATGTCAGATATCAGGGCAAAAATCTTAAGACACTCTTAAAAAGCCAAGGAAAGGACCAAGTCTGATTCCTTTAAAAAAAAATTTGGCACACACACACACCACACCCCCATTTACAAGTTAAATCCTCTGTGTTGTTACTTCTTCATGTCCTATTACAGGAAAACGGCTATGTTTATTTCCATAACTTTAAGGCCTAGCTCAAACACTGCCATCTCCCGCAAAAGCCTCCCCAGTCTCCCAGTTGGAAGTGATGCAGTTTCAATTCAGATATTTATGAAGTACCTCTGGGCCTGTCTATCCAGCATTTCTCTCTTCTTCTCACGCAGTCACCATTTGTAGGCATTCCACCTTGTGTTATCACCTTTCTATTGCTGTGTTCATCCTGGGTATAGCCTCTGTATCTTTGGTATATCTCTGTGTATCACTGATGTATCCTTGGGTATTACCTGTGTATCCTCTGTGTACCATCCATACATCCCTATGCATCCCTGGGTATCCCTGCTGCCTATATTTTAACTTCTTCAGAAACAGAGGTCAGCATAGGTATTACAGGCAGCACAGAGCCCAGTGCCTCACCTATAGTGGATGCTGACAAATGTGTGTTGAACTAGTACTGAGTAGGGGATGGCTACAGCGGGAAAAGCAGCAGTTCTGAAGCACTAAGTGACAGTACCACTCACTTATGGAGCGTGTCCGAGCCATTTACTTACTTGTTAACAGGATTTTTGATCCCCTGTCCTTCTGAACCAAGGCCTTCACCTTCCTTCCAGCCCATCTTCACCAACATCTGGTAGCCAATGTTCTCCACAGTCAACTTGAATTCTTTGTACTCTGAGTAGTCTGGCTCACGGCCTTCCTGCAGGGGTGACAGATCTTACTGGTTAAAGTGAAAGACAGAATTCTACCCAGTCTAGAAGCAAGAAGTTAGTCTGAGCTGCTGAGCTTTGGCCCTGGATAGCTTTTTGACAAGCAGCAAGGTACTTCCCTTCTTCCATTAAGAGTTAGGATTTCCTCCTTTGTAAAATGAAGGAACTGGGTTAGGTTATGTGTAAGGTCCCTTCTTGTTCTGACAGGCCGAGTCTATGAGTCCATTTACAAGTTATTTCAAGCTACCGAAGAAAGCTTTGTGTGGCTCCCCTTTTTAAGTTTCGCTTTCCAGTGGCCTTGGGAAGTGACCCCGTAGCTGCAGCTTAAATACTATTTGCTTAATGTGAGGGAAGGATATTTTCAGTTATAGATATCTCCCCATAGCAAAAGGGCACTAAGCCATTAACTTTTCTCCAGATGTTAAGAGACTCAAGTCTTTCTCTGGAACACTTAACAAGAGGACCAAGAGCCATAACATTCTGCTCTTTGTTCAAACTGCTTATACTAATGGTTTCAAGTGGGGTTCAGCTTTCCATCAAACTTGACTGATATATCCTGGCTGCCTGACATCTGTCAACAGCTCCAGTTAGCTCAAGCTGACAAAAGAGGAAATTCCCCAGGGTTACAAAAGTCAATTACCAGGCAGTAATAAACAAAGACTACTGAAACTCTAGTGCATGCCCACCATGCACTAGAGTCAGCAGAGGCTGAGAGGGAGCAAGTGTTCAGGGCTGCTCCGCCCATTAGCAGCTGTCTTCACATTTAGCCTAGGGTTCAATCTCCTAAAGACAGGGACTTTTATGACTCATTTAACTGGCCTTTATCATCATCTTGCAGAAGGTTCTTGAAGAGGAAGGCTTCTGTGTTCATCTGGAACCACGTGCATCAGGAAACCCCTGTTCTACAGTGTCTGAGATCCCTCCCTTAACTGGCCTATAGCACGAATCAATCTGTCTTCCTCTGGGTCAAGCCCCTCATGACTGGGAGAAGAGAAGTGTGTAGCCTATTCTGACATTCTCCAAAGAGGGAGCAGTCAGAGACAGAAGCACCACTAATCTGGAGAAGGAACTGGAGAAGTGGCCCGAGATGGCTGAGAGCGCTAGGGGCTGCTGAGGAAAACGAGGCTCAGGTGGGGCTCTGGCCAATGCAGCTCACCTCTCTAGCATGGCACAAAACTCAAATGAGGTCACATATAAAACACTTTGCAAACCCTAACAGCTATAAAACACCATTAAGCAGAAACACCCTCTCGAGGCCAGGAATTGATTCAATTCTCCTTCTCTCTTACCTTTAACGCCTTGAATGTCTCCATGAACTTCTCCAGCTCATCAGGGGGCAAGAAATCTCCAATGAAGTGCTTTCCTCTGCCCATTTTAGTCAACTGCTCTGCCCATTCTATGTAGAGATGGGGGAAAAGTGAGGACATTCCCAGCCCAAGGAGGAAAAGAAAATCAACTAGGGCCCCTCCCTCTCATATATATATATATATATATATATATATATATACACACCACACACACACACACACACACACACACACACACACACACACACACGTAAATATGTTCTCTGAGGGGGAATGAAAGGAACAAGCATTTATTAAGCACCTACTATGTTCCAGGTACTGGGCTAAGGGCTTTACAAATATCTCATTTGACTTCAGCAATGAGTCTAGATGTCCCACTCAAAAGAGTAGCATCAATTGTCTCACTTTACTAGGACTGAGAATGATCTGGAAATTCCTATTTTTATATCCAGTTCTACTGTGCCACCAGCTTATTCCCACATCTTAATTACCAGCTTTACTGATGTACTACAACAAATTCTACCAAAGGAAAAATCAGCCAACAGATTCACTTAGCAGTTAATACATGCAAGATGAGACTACAAGACAGGAAAAGTGTGTTTTCAAACCTGCTCTGTCACTATCTATACTAAGCTATGTGACCTTTACAAGTCCTTTTCCCTTCCTGATTTCTAAGGCAACTAGGTTTCACAATCAGTAGTGTTGGAGTCAGGAAGACCTGGGTTCAAAATCTGTCTCAAAATCTGACCTTTACTAGCTGTGTGACCCTAGGCAAGTCACTTAACTTCTCTCCACCTCAGCTGTTTTAAGGATCAAATAAGAGAAAATATGTATACTGCTCTGCAAACCTTAAAGGGTTTATATAAATGTTAAGCTATTATTTCCCATTTGTAAAATAAGGAAAGTTAGAATATATTATCTCTAAGGTTCCTTCTGCCTCTAATATTCTAGGACTCAATATTTTCCTTTGGTACAGAATCTGTAAAAGGCGTTCATACTGAACACCTAACATATTCTTAATAATAATAATAATAATAATAATAATGATAGCTAGTATTTATACAGCACCTTGAGGTTTGCAAAGCACTTTACAATTATTATCTCATTTGATCCTTATAACCCTAGGAGGTAGGTGCTATTATGATTCTAATTTTATAAATAAGAAACTGAGGTAGGAAAAGGTTAATTGTATTTTCCAAAGTCACACAGTTATTAAGTGACTGACACTGGATTTGAATTCAGGTTTTTCCTTTTTTCTTTTTTAAAAATCTCTTTTCCCTCAATTACATGTAAAAATAATTAATGTACTTTTTAAAATTTTGAGTTCCAATTTTTCTCCTTCTCTCCTTCATCTCCCCTCTCTGAAATAGTAAGCAATTTGATACAGGTTGTACATGTTCAATCATGAAAAACATGTCACAATATTAGTTATGTTGTGAAAGAAAACACAGACTCAAAGAAAAAAAAACACACACAAAAAAGTGAAAAATAGTATGCCTCAATCTACATCCAGACTCCAGTAGTTCTTTCTCTGGAGGTGGAAGGCATTTTTGATCATGAGTCCTTTGGAATTGTCTTGGAACACTGTATTGCTGAGAAGAGCTAAGTCATGCACAGTTGATCACTGCACAGTTTATTGCTTGAATTCAGGTCTTTCTGACTCCAGGTCTAGGGCTCTATCTATTGGGCAACCCAGCTGCCTCTAATCAAACCAGATATAATCAATAAACTTTTATTAAGTGACTACTAGTCACTTAACAGTGCACAACACTGGAAAACTAAAGACAAAAGCAGTATTTTCTTCCTTCAAAGATCTTATATTCCAATAGTAGAGACAACATGCACATATACTTTTACACAAAATGGACATAAGGTAACCTTGTGAAAGATAGCTCTAGCAGCTGAGCAAGAGCTGAAGAACAGGGATCTAAGGAGGGAATACATTCCATGCACATGCACAGAAGATAAGAGCAAAGGCATAGAGAAGCAAGACAGAGTGTGTGTGAGGACTAGTAAGAAAGTTAATTGGGCTGGACAGTGAGATGAGTGAAGAGGGGTAGTGTGCAATAAGGCTAGAAAGGTGGGATAGTATGAGGATATGAAGAGCTTGAAAAGCCAAACAGAGAAGTTGATATTTGATCCTAGAGGTAACAAAGAGATCTTGGGATCTGATGAGTAGGAGGCACACATGATCAGACCCACAGTTCAGAAAAGATGGTTTTGATAGTTCTTGTGAAGAATGGACTGGATGTAAGCAAACCAAACAAGAAATTACTGCAATGGTTCAGGCAAGATGGTGAGGGCCAGAACTAGGGGGGGGGGGGGGGGGGGGCCAGTGAGTAGAGAGAAGGAAATGTAGGTTGAGAGATGAGGTGGAATGACAAGACTTAGCAACTGAGGATGAATGTGCATGGAAATTTTTGTTTTTTTTTTTTTAAACAAAAATCTTTTGGGTTCCTGGCTGGTGAAGGCAATAAAAAGTGAAAAGGCTGAGGTAGGAAACAAAGTATGAAATGCTATCAGGTGAAGATCTCAAACCTTGCTGGTACCATAGACTCGGAATCACAAAGGAATGAGTATCCTCCCTTCAAAGATATGACTTCCAGCTGTGACACTATGTTTCTAGGAAATTACTGTGTGAACTACTGCCCTAAACTGGTTTAGATAAGTATTTCAGGCAATTCTTTACAACTCATTTCTGCTGTAAGATGACAAGGGCCCTGCCGTTTGAAGGGCTCCACTAACCGGGCATTAACAGCTATGAAACACTCTTTAAGACAAAAAAGCAATTTAAGAGACTCAAAATTAGATTGTACTTACTTTGCCTGCGTAAAGAGTGTTCCCCCTGAGGAAAATGTATGCTTCTTCAAAACCAGTACAGTTTTTTTGTTTTGTCTTTGCATTCCCAGTGCCTGGCATAGTGACCCATACATACTGTGGGCTCATGAAATCCAATAATGCTTTACAATTTACCAAGCTCTCTCTTCACAATGATCCTATGGAATAGTCAGGGCCAATATTATTATCCCTATTTTATACAGGAAAATCAGGCTCAGAAAAGTGAACTGACCGACTTAAAGTCACAGCATCACATCTTAAGCACAAGCCTACAGTTTAAGACTCCTAGTCTGGGGTCCTTTCCATTTTATCTGTTGCCTCTCTAGAGGGCTCTCTCTAGAACTAGGTACTAATTTCCTTTCTTGTCATTCTTCCTAACCCAATACTTCCTACCAATTTGTTAGTGTTTGCCAACGTAACTTAACCATTATTTTTCTTTACATCTGCAAATATTCCAAATGACTATTCCTTAAATACAGGCAGCAAGAGAGAGTGGATAAAAAAGGGAATCAAGTAGATTTAGGTTCAAGTACCACCTCTCATGCTATTTGACATCTGGCAAGGTACTTAACCTCTCACTGCCCCAGGCAACTCTTGAAGACTATAAATTTCAAAGCAGTTGCTAATCTGAATTCATAAAGGAAGTTTTCTACACTGATGAGATAAATCATTTCAACCCTCCCAATTCCTTCCATTTATAAACAGATGTCTATTTCATCCAGTTGTGCCTACAGCACTGAATATAAAGAAACAATTCCTAAAATAAGAGCTGTCCCAAAGTGGAATGGGAAGTAGTAAGCAGTATTCTCCCCAACTTTCCATCTCTAGTAATCTTCAAGGAGAGATTGGATGAATACTTATTAATGATGTTGTAGAAGGACTCCTATTCCAGTTAGATGAGGTTTAAGTAGGTGATCTTTGAAATCCTCTCCAACTCTCAGACTATGTAAACTTCAGTGTTCTCTTGAGCTCCTGAAAATGAGATTCTATCTGCCAGCTTTCTTCATCTTTCTCCTCTGGGCAGGGATCTCCATCCCTGGACATTTTTAGTCTGGTCCTCAAAACCAGCAACACTTTCAAAGGCAGACTGGTTCCCACATGGTGTGTGGTTACTCTTCAACATATCTATCTAGTTCTTTGTACCAAAGCCTACTTTGTACTTCTAATGGTCAGAATCATGAGGGATCCCAAGAAGGCACAGCCCTCTCTTACAATCACTGTAATGGGATGAATGAGAGACCTCCAGCTGAATGAAGTCTAGGGGAAGGAGCCAGGATATGCATGTCCCAGTTTAAAATTCACATGCACCTGTGAAGCCATTAAGTCCAACAAACTATAATTCTTTAATCTGGTTCACCTCTTCACATCGTGACTGGGACAAACCTAGAGCTTCTGACTCCTTGCTGTGACTCTGTTTCCCCTTTAAACACTGCCACCCAACTCTGGTCCACCAGTTTCTCTGCCTCATTTGATCCTGATTTTTGTACTTACTTTCTCACTTCCACCCACGAAGACAGCCTTTTTCACTACCCCTTTTCCCTGCTCCCTACTCTTGGTTTCATTCCAATAAGCACAAGACCTCTCCTAAGCCATGGTCCTTGCAGAGCTAAGACCTCTGAGGGGCAATACACCTGCCTCATATTGGGGAGCTCCTCATGCCTACCAGCCCTATTTGCTCTACACCGAGGCTGCTTAAAGTCAGGGAAGATGTCTTGTCCTGATACTGACAGCCACCGCTTGGTTGTGATGTCTTGTGGACTATGTTCTCCTGTTCCAGATCTTGATACAGAGTTCTCAGTCAAGGAATCTCAGAATTAGAAGGTGATATCTTGTAGTTCGATCTCCTGCCTGATGCATTAATTCCCCACAATAATACCCTCTTTAAGTGATAATCTAGCCACAAGAACAGCATCAGAGAGTTTACAATGCCATGTGGCAGCCCTTTCTGTTCCTGGACCATCCTAATTAGCATCCCTAGAATTTCACACACTAGTTCCTTGGGGACTAAGTAGAATAAACCTTTTCCCTCTACCTCATGACAACCCTCAGATACTTGAAAGACATGAATCAGATCACTTCCAGTCTTCTTTTCTTCAGACTAGACATTCCCAAATTGTATCCAAACCTTCAAGGTTCCCTTTTCCTTTGTACCAGGATCAAAGCCTAACTGCCCCAAATCGTGTGGATGGTACCTAGGCCAAACCTATACCTCTGAGATCATGGACCCACCTCGTGTCTTATCCATTTCCATGCGACGAAGTTGGTGCTCCCACGTTCCCAGCTCATTGTCCACCTCCTCATCACTATCATAATCGTGCTGGTGTTGCTGGACTGCCTTCTCCCACATAAGCTGCATGTCCTGCATGGCCCGCTTGTGCTTCATAATCATGTCATACATCTGCTGCATCTGGGGAGAGATAACATTAGGTTCTAGCAAGTGCCTATGATAAGTAAAGTTCCATCGCTTGCCAGGCTAACTGGCTAAGCTACTACATGATTAATAATTAGAGAAAATAAGAAATTGGATAACATCCTCCAACACACTAAGGTCAGCATCTGAAAACTGGTTTTGTTATGGGGCATTCACAACCTGTCTTCCCAGCACCACCCTAGAATTGAAGTAGACACTAAGACCCTACCCCTTGGCCCTAATACAGAAAGTGATAACAATTTCTTCCCTATTTATTAGCAGGAATGAGGGGACCAAAATCTGAACCTCAATTTTAGTTTTCAAGTGCTAGGTGAGTCACCTTTCTTCTCTCAACCTTCATTTCCTTATTTGTAAACAGAGACAATCATCCTGCTCCTGACCACCCTATAGAGTGATGAAAATCAAAGCTAGAACATTTAGTAGCTGCCTTTCCTAACTAAGGCACTGGATCTGATTACCTCAGCTTCCAAAAGGAGCTCCCTACTGATCAACGCTCCCAGGGAGCTGCAGCCAGCCAATGTCCTCAGCCTTTATTTTTAACATTCTTGATCCAGGCTATTCCTCAAGGAAGACTAGGGCAGGGGTAGGGAGCCTGCGACCTTGAGGCCACCTTTGTGGGCCTCAAGCCCATAGGTTTCCCAACCCTGGACTAGGGTTTTCCTCCTAACCATGGCAACTATGGACAAAGAAATATAGCTGTGGATTTAGAACTGAGGAGAAGCCCAATTGAGGTACTGCATGTCAAGAATTTTGTAAACCCTGAAGTGGGGAAAAAATGTCAGCTGGTACTGTTATCAGAATAACCTACATTCAGAGAGAAGTGACTCAGTTCCCCTTCCAGGCTTACCTCCTGTTGTTCCTTCAGCTGCTTCTTCTGGGCATCAGAGAGCTCTGTCACCCCCACAAGGCCAACAGGTTTTCCTTTCTCATAACCAAGCCCTTTAAGGTCCTGAACTGTAAGAGAACACATTGAGATAGTCACCTTGAAAGGATCTCAATTACTCTTCAAGGCAGAGGAAGACATGACCCAAGCAACAATGCTTTCAAGTGGGTAAAGGCACCACTTGGTTCTCTAGACACACTGGACCAAGAGCTCAAATAGGGGTCTAAGCCCTGACTGTACCTCGGACTAATCGTGGGAACTTGGTCACAATCACTTAACCCTAATGAGCCTTCATTTCTTCACTTGCTACTTTACAAGTTTGAGGGGAGACTCAAATGAAAGAACATCTAAAACCAAAACATAGGTCTAAATTATTATTTTCTTAATGCCTCCTTATCTAGGTATCCCATATGTCATAAGTATATTCACAAAATGGTCAGTCAATAAACATTTAGTAAGCCTCTAATACAGGCCAGGGACTATGCTAAGCACTAAGGCTATAAAGAAAGCAAAAAGTCTTTGCTCTTAAGGAGCGCACAAGCTAACAAAGCCAGATGAAAACAAAGTTAAGGGGATGGGGAGAAAAAAGCACCAGAAATCTCTGCCAAGGCTGATACTAGTCGGAAAACATAAATGTACTGTTGTGAGCACATTACTCCACTCCTCAAAGCCCTTCATTGCCAAGTGAATAAAACATGTACAGCTTAGCCTGGCATCCAAGGACATACACGATGTGATTCAAACCTATCTCTGCAGTCTTCTTGCACCATTCCCCTTCACATAGTCCATGCTCCTGCCAAATTAGATTTTATACCATCTCCTCAAAATGTCACTTAAGTCTCTGTACTTTTATATACACACAAGTTGCAACTAGGGTAGGGTGATCAGAGGTTTGCCCCAAGGAGTTAGATTTAGAAAATGTCAAGCACATCACTTCAGTGGACATTTCTTCTTTCTTCATCCTTGGCTCTGCACCGATCTAGAAGGTAGCCCTTCCTTATCTAAATCACAGCATTCTGCATTCTTCTTACACAACTGTCATGTTTTAATCTGTACTATAGCTACCTATTGTCTTTATGTTTCTCATAAGTCAGTAAACACACTTAAGGCCAGGGTCAGTTTGATTTGCCTTTCCACCCCACTCCCACAAGGCCCAGAATGGTGAATTCCATAGTAAACTCTTCATAAATGTTTACTGAAAGAGAAGCAATAAGCACTGGAAAGAGTTAGTCAGTCAGTAATCATTTATTAAGAACCTACAATGTGCCAAGCACAGTGCTAAGCTCTCAGGATACAAAAAGAGGCAAAAGACAGTCCTTACTCCTTATGGAGCTCACATCAATAGTGAAGACAACAAGCAATCAAATACATACAAACAACCCATGTTACAGGATAAACAGGAAATAATTAAAAGAGGGAAGGCACTAGAATAAAGAAAGATTGGTACAGCCTCAGACACTTGACATTTACTAGCTGTGTAACCCTGGGCAAGTCACTTAACCCCAAATGCCTCAACAACAAAAAAAAAAAGTTGGGCAAGGCTTCCTATAGAGATGGCATTTTATGTGGAACTCAAAGGAAGCCAATAGACAGAGTTTATGTGAGAGAGAGAGGGAGAGAGAGAGAGAGAGAGAGAGAGAGAGAGAGAGAGAGAGAGAGAGACAGAGACAGACAGACAGACAGACAGACATTGAGAGATCGAGCTCTACTATAGGGGACAGCCAGGGAAAATGTCCAGAGCCAAGAGGTAGAGTGTGGTGTTCACAGAACACCAAGGAGGCCAGTGTTGCTGGATCAGAGTATATGGCAGAGAGTCAGAACACTGGAAAGGTAAAAAAGGATTAGGTTAAGAAGGGTTTTGAATACTAAACAGAGGATTTTGTATTTGATCCTGGAGATGACAGAGAGCCACTGGAGCTTACTGAGCTGGGGGCACAGTTGACATGTTGGGACCTGTGCTTTTAGGAAGGTCATTTTGGCAGCTGAATGGAGGATGGACTGGAGATAAACTTGAAGCAGTCAAACCCCCAGTAGGCTATGCTAAAGTTCAGAAGTCAGGTGATGAGCCCAAGGGACTGGAATGATGGTGCTGCCTTCTTTATAACCTGGGGAGTAGGGGGAGGGGACAGATTAGAGGGTAAAGTAATGAGTTTGGTTTTGGAAGTTGTTGAGTTTAAGATATCTATGGGCCATTCAGTTTGAGATGACTAACAGGCAGCTGTAGATAAAAAATTAGAGGTCAGCAAAGAGACTGGGGCAGGGCAGATGGCTACATAAGCTCTTTAATATCTAAATTGTTTACATCTTCATTCTTTGTAGAGGTGGGGGTCTACAGGAAGTAGAATATTACAAATACTGTCAGACTTGGTGTAATATTTATATAAACAACCTGAAATGCTGGTTACTTTGCTGAACTGTGTTTTTTCTTTTTCTTTTTTTTTTAAATAAGAGGTCAGCAAACTACAGCCTACAGTAGGTCAAACCCAACCCACTGCTTGCTTCTGTCTGGCCCACAAAGAATGGTTTTTACATTTTTAAATGGTTGAAAAAAAGTAAGATACTGAAGATATGAAATGAATTAAGATACTAATATATGAAATTCAAATTTAAGCATCCATAAACAGTTTTTTTGAAACAGCTACACTAATTCATTTATATACTGTCAAGGCTGAACTGAATAGTTATGAAAGAGATACTATGTGGCACTCTCATAGTTTACACTGCTACTCGGTAGGTACACTACGAACTGAAGTAATGCAGCTATAATGTGCAGTAATGTGCCACAGGTATTGCCATATTGTGATATTTTATTTTACTTTTTATTATCAGTGCATACCCATAATGTTAAACCTAGAAAAGAGAAAAAAGTTATTACAATTTTTTCAGCTCAGGGCTGAAACTGAAATTTTTCTGAATGGGAAATACCAGTCTCAAACACTAATATGAAACACTGATTTGGAAATTAGCTTTTGCTGCAGACTTAATAATTCTTAATAAATCCAACCTAAAATTACAAGACAAAACAACACTCATATACAAAACTTAAACTACAATAAAAACAATTTGACAACAACATTGTCAGAATCACAAGTCATGTCAAACTGCTTTATCCACTTCCTGTGTAGTCAAAAGTCAAAACAAGAAGGGAGATCTTTATTCTCACAAACTGAAGCAGACATTTTCCAAGCTCAAGGGCCAGTTCTGGCAGCATTTTTTCAGACCTCAATGCAAGTGCAAAAGAAATTTCCATATTTCTAAGTCCACTTGACTGTGCAATTGAGGAGCTTCTATCTAACCTTCAATTGGAAGTGATTAATCTACAATGTAATGAGACTTGCTAAAAGACAAATATGAAGAGAAGGATCTGAAAGAATTTCATCATGTCTTCCAGGTGATGAATATGCTCAAAATCATACGCTGCAGATTGGTATCAGTATTGGCAGTACCTGTGTGAGAGGGCATTTTCAAAGCTGAAATATCTAAAATCTCACTAGAGACCAGCATTACCAAAAAGTATACTCAATTATTATTCTAATTTCACTAATAAAAATGTGAAAATTCATTTGCTCTCTTGCTATATATAAGCACCTACATAAAATCTTTAATTTTGCCTTTTGGCTTACAAAACCTAAAATACCATCTCTGGACCTTTACAGAAAAAGTCTAACAACTTCTGTTATAAAGAGTCACTCATTGGGCAGGGGAGGTAGGGAAGGATATATTCAGAAATGAAAGTGATTTGAAAACAAAATATATGTGAAAAATTAAAAACAAAAACAAAATCTAGGTTAATGAGCTCCCTTTCTGTCAACATCAGTCTTCTTAGACAACGCCTCTTTCTTCTCAATCCGGATTGTGCTTTTGTCTTTAGAATTTTATTCTTGATTACTTTTCATTTTTCCTGGAATGACTTCCCATATTAAACTACAACCTAACCTTTTCCTGAACTCTTTGAAATCAACTTTCCCAAAAATCTAGGGAGCAAATCAAAATCTGCTTGGCTTTCATCTCCTTAATTTCTAATCAACCTATCAACAAGTATTTATTAAGTGCCTACTATGAGCCAGGCACTGCTAGGTACTAGGGATTTAAGAACAAAAACTAAACAATCTCTACTAATAGAGATCCTAACAAGAGACTCTTCAAGTCTCTTCAAAAGTCATACTCCACTACATTTCAAGATACCTAAGAGGTCAAGTTTTCATCCTGCATTAGGATCTCCAGGTCACTTCATTTATTGATCATATTTTGGAATCTAAATATAGTTATTTGAAACCATGGGTTTGTCTGGGGTTTGGTTTGGGGGGGGGGGTTGGTTTTGGCAGGCTCCTTTCTTGGATATCAAATTTATCCGAACTTTTCCTTAAAAATCAATCATATCTTATCATCAAGTCTTGCCAATTTTGCCTCAACAATCTTTCTTGAATTCACCCTCTATTTCTAACAGCATTCTCCTAGTACAGGTCCTCCTTAACAGCTTTTTGAACTATTGCAAAAACCTCCTACACCCCTCTCCCTACCTTCCTTCTCTTTCCCATGCCAATCCATCCTGTGAATGGTGCTATATTCATTTTTCTCATGAACAGAATGATCATATCATTTGCTCAGGATTACAAACTGGCTAACAAGAAAAACTCAGCCTGACATTCAAGGTATTCTAGGACTTTGGCCTTCCTACCCTTTTTAGGCTGACTGACTACTATTCTCCATTCCTTAAACAATTGCCAGCACCTTCCTGTTCGAGCCACTCTAACCAGTCACATAGCTTTTCAATTCAATGGTTGTTTCAATATAATTGCTCTGGATAGACCATTCTTAAGTAGTGTATTCAGTTCTAGTACCATATTTTTGGAAAAGCAGACAAGTTGCAGCAAGTTTAAAAAAAAAAGCAATCAGGGAGGCTAAAAGGAATGAAGAACATGCCATCTGAGAATGAGATGAAGGAAGTGGAAAAATTTATCCTGAAGATACTTGAGAGGTGAAGAGGGAGCTTAATAATGACCTTCAGCACCCCCCCCAAAAAATGATCTTCAAACATCTCAAAGACTGTCAATAAGGAAGATTTTTTTTC